ACATCCACCGGCGAAATGAGTCGTCCTGCTAAAACCCCGCGGCTCAAACTCCATCTTCCAGTGCTTGACACCAAAAAGAGGGGGGTGAACCCACCAGGGATGCACCTCGCAGCCGGTCCCGGGTGCGTGCTGCACCCCGAAATTGCTCCAAGACCAGTGTTCTCATCACCGAAACGTATCCATGACCCTGACCCGTTGGGCCAACCAGGCGGAGAAGCACGGATGTAGCGTCCCGGCCCGGCTCTTGTGCTCGTTACGAACATAAGGAGCGCTGGGAGAGGAGCGGTGGCGGAGGAGCTGAGGTTTCAGTCACTTCTTTCTATTTTTAGACTCTTTTTCCGAGGCCAGTTTGGTTTCCTTGGGTGTTTTTTTCTTTCTTCTCGAGCTTCCTTGGGGTTTCACTGAAATATTTCTCTCTGCGGTGACGCAGAGAGCGGGCACTGATTTAGTTACTTGCAGTTAAATAAAACCCCGAGTTTAAAAACCCCGAGTTTCTTTCATCCGCCTTGCATTCCAAACCCATAAAACGCAAATTTCAAAATAAGAAAGGTCAAAAAAAAAAAAAGCCGCTTTTTAGATTTTATAAGCGTGGCAAGAATAGGGTCGCTCGGGGCGCTAATGCAGCTGATTTTGGGGTGCAGCTATGTGGCAGGTGCCACTGTCACCTCGAGGGAGAGTGAAGGGTCGTTTTTTGGGGGCCGGACTGGGGATTTTGCCATGTGCCGTGGTGTTGATGAAAGGGTGTTTGGTGGTGGGTTGGTTTTTTGTTGGTTTTGATGGTGTGTTTTTTTTTTTTTTGTTGGACTCCATCTCAACCGAGTCACGGAGCCGGCAGAGGGCAGCCGGAGCACAAATTCCTCCATCAGACAGAAAAATTCCAGCTAGACGCTCTCTCTTATATCCAACAGTGCCAACGTGCCGGGAAAGATCATCAGTCCCGTTTTTGCACGTTATCCAAGATAATACCACTCTGCCGTTGGAAACTTTTTGAATTGCTCTCAGCCCAAGCCCCAAACCAGCAGAAATTAGACCATTTCCCTGCACGTCCGACGTCTGTGCAACCGATGTCGCCGGCGCTTAGCGGTTTTGTTTGCGAGGGCGTTGCAAACCAGCCGGAAAAAGAGGGGGGTTTTCTTTTTTAACCGAAAGTGCCTAAAAAGCCACAAAGCGAGAGAAGAAAATAGCAAGAGCAGCTGAGACGCTGTTTACTGCTTTCCTGAGGCAAAAAGGGAGCTGCTAAAAAAAAAATCAAAACCCCCAACCAACCAACCAGCAGCTTTTAGGTCACGTATAATGTCTCGGCAGCGCGTGCTGTATTTATGAATGAAGGGGTTAACGTATAGTTAATGTATGCACTGGAGTCCGGCGGGCTGGTTGATTAATCACAACGATGCCGCAACTATTTCCTGCCGACTCCCCCCCATCTCTGAAGCCTGTTACTCAACGCTCGTTAACACGCGTCTACGGCTCGTCCATCAGGTCGTAACTCGCTAGGAACTTATGTATAAATAGGAGGTTAATGTAAAGCCGCGGTCTTTCCCGGTCACGGAAGTAGGTGGCTTTGGGACTGGCTGGGTGGGGACCCTGTGTCCCGCGTCCAGGAAGTCCCGTGCTCGAAGTCAGCTCTCGCTTTCCAAAGCCTCTCAGGCTCTGGGGAAAACCACGCACTAAAATGATGCTAAAAAAGTCAAAAAACGTGGGCAGGCTTGGCTGTGGCCAAAGGGAGCGGGAACAGGAAGCCCCAGAGAACAAAGGATTGCCCGTTTTTTTGCAATCCGGGTGTTTTTCCAAGTGAGGTTTCCAGGGAAGACAGTAAATGCCGACGCCGAGCGGCATTTGGATGCATTATTGCATTGCGTGCTGGTTTAAACCCTCTGCGCAGCACCCTTGGGTGCTCAGCAAGCTATGCTACCCCTCCGCAGAGCTAATGGTGGGAAGGGGTCGGGTGTTTCCCCGTAGAGCGAGCCGGGATGGGCTGCTCGCACCGGGACTGCGGCGATTTTTGGCCGGCAGCAGGCAGGGAAAGGTTTTATCGACATGAAGCCTTGGAGAAGATGCCGGAGGGCAAGGAGAACAGCAAGGTGCAGCTGGAGAGTTTGGCAACGTGGTGAAGGGACACAGGAGTGGTCAGATTTGGTATATTTTTCCAGGAGCGGAGGATGTCAAGGGACAGGGATGGATGGACATGGAGGTAAGATGATAAAAGACTGATTTAAGGCGTTTTCTTCTTGCATAAGGGCAGAAGCGTTACAAGCTGAGGCCCAGGGAGTGTCGCTAAGCCTGAAAATCATGGCCTCTGCATTTACCCCAGGGAGGATCTTGAGGAATTTCCAGCGCCGGCCAAGCCGCGTGGAGGCGATTTCGCGATGGTGAGGCTGCGGGAGCTGGGGCCTATCCTGCTGCCGAGCAAGCCGGTGTCGGCTGCGACGGCTCAGCCTGTCCTTGGGCTCCTCACCTCGTTGCAAGCGCCCAGGTCTGCTAGCAAAAACAAAACAAAGCAATATGAAGCTCCTGCTTTTCCCTGGGAGCTCCCCAAAAACCTTGCAAAGACCCCTCCCCAAGACCACCCAGGCATAAAAACCCTCTGGAGGTCTCTCCCGTCTCCTTCCAGCGGTGGTGCGAAAGGGCAAAGAGGATCGTACGCCTCCGAATCGCACGGGCCGGGCCCTGCCCTTCCCTCGGCTGCTGCAATAAGCCCGTCTTTTCTTGCAATCCCTCTTGGCAGGCCAAGGAGAGCGGGGAGGGACATGGCTGCCCTCCAAGGAGAAGCAAATGCAAATATTTCTTCACTTCAGGCAGGGTGTGGCGCAGGGATAAAATTTCCCCAGGCTTTCCCAGCAAAGTCATCTGATACTGTACCCCGCTGCGAGCCCAGTTTGCTCCCAGGAATACAACAGTGCATCCCATTAAAAAACCCAAAAGTGATTTTTCTTGCAACTCAAAGGACTGTCTGATTTTTTTTTTTTTTTTTAAAAAGCACTTTTAAATTAAAAGAGGAGCTGACAAGGCACGGCCATAGTATTTTTAAATCAGTAGTCAAAGCGTTGCTTCATAAGTAAGGCCTTTTTGCAGGCTTTGTTTGTGAGCTGAAGGTTTCAGTGCAGCATTGAGGAAAGTGAGCCTGTAAAAAGGGAAATGGGCTGGAAAACGCCTTTCCTTGGCATCCTCCAGGGTCAGCCGTGAGAAATGTGAAAAGCAGAGAGGGAGAGATGAGCTGGATTCCTGGCATGCCTTCGCTCTGCCATCACTGCCTTCAAGGAGCCGGCTGCGGAGAGGGAAACGCTGCAAGAAGGGAAACTGAAGCT